GTACAGCAGTGGAAAAATCAGTGCAATAAGTGACCTGACTAATAGTGTTAAATCCTGTTCCCGAACAGCCTGCAGGTGATTGGCATTCAATACGCGGTTCACCAGAGAAAGAAGTACCATCTACATAGAGACCTAAACTATTGATCAATGCTTGATCGCAGTGAAGACGACTTAATGTCCATGAATGAGATTGGTAAATAATAACTTCAACATTACTTGAATTGGTATATGGATCAACGGGTTTCCAATTAATTAAGCCGCCCTACAATATAAGAGATACGGATATTTATTAGTTGCAGTGTATTTTGGTATTACTTTGTAATGAGGAGCTCGAACAGCTATTACTAGTATCGATAGTTGGAACACAATATAAATCATTTTTTATCAAAATTGAATCGAAAGCAATTGAGGCGATGTTGATTTGGTGGATGCCTGCTTTTGTAAAATGAATTAAAGTTGATGTTTCATGCGTTAGGAGAATTTTATTTGAATCAGTAAGCTTTAAAATGGTATGGAGGCGACAGGTAATCAGTTTTTTTTTGAAGTGGGAGAAAACGAATGCGCAAATAATGGCATTGGTTCAGTTTAAAAAATTATTAATAGATGCCTACGATACGTTTACCATTTCATTGGAGAAGATTGCGAGCGGAGTCCGTGGTCTTTTTCAGCTCAAAGTAAAGTTGAAAGCAGATCGCATAGATGTTTTTGAGAAAAGAGGTGATTATGGTATCTAGGAAGTGTGGCACCGCTGTCGATTCATGACGGAAGCGCGCAAACTTGAGTAAAGAATTATATCATATATAACAAAAAGAGCTCTTACATAGCTCAGACCCATACTGTGAGGAACTCCACATTGTATTGATAGAAAGTCTCACGATGCCTTCAGATTTGTTCATCATGGACTAGCATTTATATCTTCGTTTAATACAGTGAAGATGAAAATGGATTAAAAAGGAGAATATGGCAAAGAAGACGTTGCACTCAGAACGTCATTTTCTCGCCGCTCACACTGGAAAAATAAAAGATGAAGTAGTACGGTGCATAGTAATGAATGTTTGAAAATTCTCTTAGATCGCAATTCACGTTGAGTTTTACTGCAGTTTTTTAAAAATAGGTTGGATTAAAAAAAGCTCAGTGTATATGTACGTGGTATATGTTTCGATGCCTTTTCTTTAGTAAACATGTAACAAATACAAAAAATAATTCTTTCTTATTGTAAACATTCGAAACGAATCTCAATGATTGTCCAATAGTGTATTGATGAAAGAAATATTAACGTAGAAAGAAAAACAAGTTGCAACTCATAAGCCTCAATATGTTTACCTAAGTCGAAAAGTCAATTACTTGTGGTAAATTTATTTCGAAGAAACTCGTTAGCTAATTAGAGACTTTGTGCCTTCCCACTCAACAGTCGCCGCTCAAACGTACAATATCAGAAAGCTCACATGTGTTACGTTTTTCAATCCATTTTCTACCAATCAA